GGGTGAACCTGAACCATATTTATGTTGTAGGATCGGTGCAACCGAAGAGACTCCTGAAAACTCGGAACGACAATTCCTGCGGGTTTTACCCTTTTGTTTCCTCTTTTTCCCCAGACAACTGCAAGAAACTTGCACTGACAGGGCAGTAACATCGAGCGATCATATGAATGATAAGAATTCTATATGGCACAGGTTCATCGTTGTCTTAGAAAAATAACCGGCTTGATAAGCTTGCTTCCCGTTTATTTTAGCACATTGTTACCCCAACTTAGGATAAAAAAAATATTCCTTTAAACACCTCTGGTTTTTGTGACTACTGTGCTTTCCTCTTAGGAAGGCCTCAGCCAAAATGTTACGGTGTCGTGTAGTTCCGCAAACCTTCCCCCAAGTCCCTCGCGGTTTTAAAAAATAGCTATTGTTAGACTTCATAGCATCTCTCGTGACTCGTCCTGGATAAGTTTTGACAGTGGTCATCGTTAAAAGAATCTGATCGGGTTTTGTCGGATTCACTTTTGGTTGTTTCGGATTTAGTTCGATCATGCAGTTTCATCTCTGCATTTAGATATTGTTATTGATTTGAATGTAAAAGCTACGTCGTCAAAAGTTCTCACTTGTGCGTTTTGCTCTGAACATATTGAACATATCCTTTGAAAAGAGAGAGAATCTAGCTTGACCCCCATTACGTATTAATCAACAATTAATACGTCTGTTGGGAAGGGGATGGAGTGTTCTGTCTACTTGTTCTCTCCAAGTCTTTCTGCTGTCTTCGAAAAATTGCAATTAGATTTCTGAATTACGATGAAACATTGACCAATTAAAACGTTCGAGCGTGACTTACGTGACAGTCCTGGTAATTTGGGACTTAACAAGTTAGTCTCGTGCACTGGATAGCAGAGAAATTTAGTGCCAAATTTGCAACCAGACTCTGTAAGATTTTACGTTCTATATCCCTGCATAGTTAATCGAGGGGATTAACTATGATCCCTGTCAGTTTTGTGTAAACGTGTCTTGTGAACGACTTATTTTTCTGCGGTTGATAAATGTCCAGAGTTTTGGTGTGTTGATAAAAATCGTTTATTTCTATTCAGGGTATTCTCATTTTCTCTTCACTCTTTTGACGGAATTTGAACGAGTGTTCAACGGACGAGCGCTTATTGCCAACTCAGAGGACACGAACGCGTACAGCCACTTGCACCAGCACACTTTCTAATGCCAAGAAGATCCATCTGTCGACCTTCAGGTGTGTTAGAGAAAGCTGACCAGTACCGAAGGAAGTAGAAGTAAGTCCAATTCTTTGATCAAGATGATTATCAGAATTTTAGAGAACGTGAAAAATTAAGCATCCCTTGGATAATTGAGCAATTAGGGAAGTTTTTAAAATCGTCCCAATTTATACTTAGATTGTTTCAGTTGTTTTCCTTTTAAGGTGTTCTTTTAAAACATTTCTTTGCCATTATTAACTTGAAATCTCTATTCTGTTAGCTGAAAAGGCTGATATCCGATGGAAATGGAAATACAAAGCTTAAAGAGACACTGTCACGCTCGACCGTCATTATGTAATTATTGGTGAGTTGAAGAATTATGCATATATTTTGCATTTAAATCAAGTCTAGCCAAAGCAAACGCTGACGAGAGTGAATTCCTTTTACTGAGGAACCTTCGGTGATCTTTTGTAAATGTAAAAGTGCTTGTAGGACGAAGCGCAAAGAAAATAGTTCTCGTGGGTGCCCGTGCAAAGGGACTCGGAAACGTGCTGTGTCCAGATGAATATAAATGTGGACTGAACAAGTAATAAACCTTGCAGAAACAGGGTACGCATATAAAGTTGAATACATGCATATAAAGTTGTATACAGTCACTTCTTCTGTGGCTTGAATGTCCAAAAAGCGTACGAAATAATTTGTGTATTCCCTTTCTTCAGGATTTGAACGAGCAGTCGTCATCTGCCTATGAAGGCCGTAGAGTTCGCCCGAGGCTTACCTATATTCCAATTATAATGTGTAGTAGAATAAACATCTGCCTTGCAAATGCTACAAATGTCTGTGACATCTTGCATTATTTTATTTCCCTATCAGTAAAATCGCTGTCACTGAAAGACTCATAACCTGCATCAAATTTTGTCTGCAGCCACAACTTAAATGTATTTTCTTCCACATAGATACGCTTATGGTTTCTCAGCCACGCTTTCTTGTATTCTCCTCTGTCTTCAACCTTTCGTTTCCGCCCTGAGTTGATGCGTGTACCGCCATGTCCGGATCCTCCGCTAGACGCCATTTTGAATTTGTGAATGCCAGTAACTTGAAAAAGTCAGTCTGACTTTTTCAAGTTTCGATCAGCTAAACGAGCATGCGTAGACCGTGACCATGTCCCTTAAACAGTGTATTAAATTAGGTCATTTTTAAGCATATTCGATAAATCCCTACCTGCTAAAAGATCACAAGAAAATCCATCTCCCATGTTAAAGTGTCGATTACAAGCGTCCTTATTGTTTTGAATGGTAGCTTCTCTATCAAGAGGAACGCTTGCGAGAGCTCCTGTTCTTGAATATTTCTGATACCTTCCTTCCACGTGGGAAGATAATCTCTGGACAGTTATGTATTCCATCTCAGCTGCGGAGGCATCTTTTCTTCGCTTATTAGAAAGCTTCTACTTGCGTATCAAGAAATAGTATATTGTTCCGGCTCAACTTCACACATTAAGTAGTAAACAATAGTCCTTTTGTTCTTTGTAGCGCTGAGGGACTTTGGCCGAAGCGACGCGAAAAAGTTCGTGACTAACCGGAAAAAAAAAATTTTGGCATCACAATTTAGCTATTTTGGAAGAGTAGGTAGCGAATATTTGCACACGACAGATAAATTGTCACCGGAGTACCCCAAGGGAAAATTAAACGCTGATTTAGCCGCTTCGGGGAAGTGGGTAGCATAAATTTGTCTCGTCGAGTCAACTCTCAATGGTCTACCCCGGAAAAAATTGACCGCTAATGTGGCAATGCACACATCGAGAATTCAAAATACGTCATGTGTCTCATTCAGACCACCTCTCTCCGTATAAATCTTTCTCCAGAAACTGTCATAGTTCTAAACTTAAGTCGTCATATATAGTTCTAAACTAAAGTCTGGTATTTCCGAGCGTTTAAATTTCCCGCTCGTATGCTAATCGTAAGCTTCGACAAATCCCTCGTGTGTTCTGAAGCTGTTGCGCCATTGTTCAAAAATGGCCATATAGGGTCATTTTTCGCTTGTCTAACAAAGCCTATTGTTATCAAATTTTAGTCACGTTTCTTTCAACTGCTGAAAATATTTTTTGTCGTTTGCCTTGGGCATGATTCCGAAGGCAAATATTATAACAGCGAAAATACAGTAGACTGTCTACCCAATGAGTGAACCACCGTGCGTGAGCAAGCGACCACATCAACACAGGTGACCCAAGACGTACGCTTGCAAGGATTTGTGGGCTATGGCACTCATAGGCCATGGAGCAGTTTTGTTTTAGTGAGGCGAATTCGATTCAATTTTAGTTTAATTTAAAAACAGTTTTATTTCAATGCAATTTAATGTAAATATCAATCGAGAACTGTGCTAAAGCTAAAGAAATAAAATAATTTCATCTGAACTGAATTTAAACTAACGAGATAAGCAAACAAATACAATAGAAAATATTGAAATTAGTTAAGAAAGTCGATAAAAACGCTATGGCACACATAGGCACCATAGGTCGTCACCTTTGTCCTCTCGCAAAACAACACCGTCCAGGTGTCGGTGCGTCTGCTTCTACTGAAAACAATGTCAAACGAAGCCCAAACTCGCAAGGATTTAACTGTCAAACACCCCGCAAAAAGGTGAAACAATTTCTCTAGTTTTTCTAAGTTCCCTTCATGGGAGTTCGGTTGTAAAATATTTCTTCTAGTTTGCGTGTTCAATTTCGTCGGGACAATTCTAGTTTTGTCTGCCAGTGTGGATAGGCCCTTAGCGAAAAAAATGTTCATTTAGACAAATTTTCTGTCATCACCAACACTTGACAAGTGCGGATCGTTTGTCGTGACTCGACAAATTTTGGTCGAAGCGGACAAATTTTCAAACGCACCGTCGACAAAATTTGTCTGGGTAAAACCTTGGCAAAATCGACTTGATAAACAAAACCAGGATAAACTTGTCGATCATTTGTCGGCTTACACCAGTGTGGTAATTGAGTTAAGTTCAGTTTTACCAAAAGATTGCAGTGATTGTCTTTGGCTGCGAATCTCGCGGATTTTACAAATCCAGACAAATTAAGGTGAATCCTGGTAACAAGAGTTTAAATCCATACGAAAATTAAAGCCGCCACTCTTATGAGCAGATTAGGATCGGTTAGGCGCTGGAATGTCCCATCTTATGACAATCAAGGGAACAATTTGCATGCAGCCAGAGCGAGTACAACGGGTGGAGTAATTGTCCAGTCTCCACTTTACCAGTCGAACAATGAAGCAGTAAAGAAGGCACAAGATCCAAAAGAACCCACTCGAAGCAAAGGGGTGAAGGGAAAGCTACATTAAATAAATTACTATGAAATATAGTATCGGTTTTATTTTTGATTGTTGACCGAATTTGACACTTTGACAGCTTCGAGACTTTTAGTGCGGATGCAACAGAGGAGACAAAAATTTGTCTTGACAAAATTTGTCCTTTGATTTCGTCGGGACAATTTTAGTTTGTCTGCTATTGCGGATAGGCCCTCAGAAATTGTTTCACCTTTTTGAGGGATATTTGACTGTTAAATCCTCGCGGGTTTGGGTTTCGTTTGACATTGTTTCCGGTCGAATTAGACGCACCGACACCTGGACGGTGTTGTTTTGCCAGAGGACAAAGGTGACGACCCTCCCCTGGGAGATTTTCATTTATTCGATAGACGCGGTCGCCAAGCTTTTACATTTGAATCCTGTAGTAAAGGCAAAAGGATTACGCGTACCTACAAAGCGATTTTGCAAGAATGGGTGGTAAAATACCGTAAAAGGGAGCGGCTCTCGGATCGATGCAGCGGAATTTGGAAAATTTTGCCGCTGGAACGGGTAGACTTTAGCTAAGCGCTCGCGGGTGTAAATTCGAGGGAGATCAGTCGACTTTTGTGGAATTTATTGGCCTTCGAGTGGCGACGGTTGATGTTCGGGACGGGCAACCCTAACGCCCGGAAAATGAGGAATTCGGAAACCGGAAACCAGAATCCAAAAATAAATCAAAAACGAAGTTTTTCAAGTACACAAAAGTTAAGTTGCAAATTTTTTCACCTGGAAATATAAAAAGGTCAATAAAAAATGGCATTAAAGCACAGCTCTTTTGATAAAAAAGGACTCCCGGCATTTCAGTTCAATAGGCGACCGTCACTCCTTGTGAGGGCTATGGATATACTAACCCAGAGTATTGTGCATCATAATTTGATTCTAAGTACCCGAAAAACGACTTAAGTGCGAGTGCTTGTAACTGCCTCGTTGTTAAGTGATCTGCATGCCAAAGGTATAACTTGGCCTTCGTGCCCAGTAGATACACAACAAGTCAGCAAATGTCAAAGAGAAGGGGCATTTCTATTAATAAAAAATTAATAAATTATTAATAAATAATTAATAAATAAATAATCAATAAATATTCCTGGCCACAATCTACACAACTGATGACGTCACAGAGGAAATTTGGGCCGCGCAGGAATTGCCGCTAATTTTTGAGAAAAATGCTCAACTTTGAGTCGGCGGGAAACTACTTGAGCAATTCCATGAAGGTTCTAATACAAGAATTCGATCAAGTAATACCTAAATTGTAATAATTAGAAATAAAAATGAGGAGGAAAATTTCGAGTCACGTGCACTTTAAGGGGGGACTGTCATCATTTTACTTTCCACCCTGCCCAAGTAATCTAAATCCTTAGTACCAGTGGTAGCGAGAAATGGTCTGTTTATGTCCGCGTGGGCCTGGAATCTGTTTTTAAACAAAGATGGAGGATCAAGGCATGAACAGTGTCATGAAAAAGAAAACCTTTAATTTCCAATGTTTGAAGAATAACTTGTCTTGGGTTGTGCTCACTGGTAAGTTTCTTTACATACTTAAAGTTTCGTAAAACAGTTCAACCACTCGACCAGCATCCTTAACTATAAGCTGAAAAACTACGAACTAAACTTGAGCAAAATTACGAACTAAACTTGTATGTATTTGCTTTATTTTAAGATTCCGGTTTCCGAATTCCGGATTCCGGATTCCGGATTCCTTATTTAAGGGTTGCCCGTTCGGGAGCGGTTGAAGTTTCCAGCTGTTAAATTTTTTATACACAGTTGACCGGTAGCACCACACGCGTTGTAAAGAAGGTCGCCAAAACAGCGTTAAATGGACCGCAAACGACAAAGAAGCAACGGGAAAAAGGAAAGGAAACTTCATACAATGTATTCCTCGCTTTTATTTTCCTCTTTAATTTTTTCTTAATTTTTTTTTATAATTTTTTGTATTAAACAGTTGACTGGTGACACCGCACGCGTTACTAAGCAAGTCGCCAAAATAGAGTTAAAACGACCGTTGGCAACAAAGTGGCTACGGAAAAAAGATAAGGAGACTTTACATGTTTTATTCCCCACTTTTATTATCCTTTTGAATTTTTTCTTATTTTTTTTTAATAATTTTTCCTTTTTTCAACGGCCCTCACATACGCTTGAAATTCGATCTCAATATGTTAGTTAATGCCGTTAATGAATTTTATACCCAGTCACACACATTACGCTTGGGCCGCCTGTGCGAACATCTGCTTGCTACTGTTTTACTCTGCAAATTGATTGCCGAAGACAAATGTTCAAGAGATTTTATAAAATTAATCTCAACTACCTTTTATTTTTACTCTTTGGAATGGTTACAGAATCAATTGCTAACCTGCTTCCCTTTGACAAGTCATATTAGCCACATCCAAACAAGGGTAATGTATGTAATTTTCCAAATGATTAGAAAATACGTTGAAACGAGAAGAAACCGTTGATGGCCATGACAACAGTCTAGAAAGATAACTTGAAAACAAGTAAAAGCAATGGTAAATATAA